AAAAGAGTAATATGTGAAGATATGCGTAAAGCGAGTGGTGTAGGCGCGTAACCACGGAGGGGTTTATGGTTCATGCGTTTCGGTTCCCCAGGCTGTAAGAGCGAACTCTTGGTTGGAATCCATACATTTCATCCAGTGAGGGATTTTGAATGTTGTTTTGATTGTTTTTACGACTTCCGAGCTGAGAGATGGGTTTGGTTTTGATGCACCAGGGGAAGACTCGTTTACGAAATTGCGAACCAAACCATGTTGTGACATTTGGGGTTGACTGTAAGTAGATCATTCAGCAGTCGTGGTGAATATCTGAGATATTGTACCCTCTCAATCGTTAGTAAAACGAATGCGAGCATCGAATAAGGCATATTGGTTAGCGACCTGATTATAGTTAATCATCACTTTGTAATGAACGCATGGGCTACCCACACAGGGTCCAGGTTTCGCTTATATCCTTTCCCAGTAGGCAATCGACTTCCAAAAGTGTAAGCTGTTCGTCTTCTGGGGTGTGGCGCTGTGACTTGATTGCGAATGGCCTGCAATCCGAGGACAAGTTGTAAAACAACGTTGGTATCTGTTTTATCAAGGTGGTCGGCAAAAAAGTGACTCGTTGACCACCAAAACTGTTCTTGACCATCTTGTGGTAAAAGCATCTCAGCTTCTAGACAAGCTCGGTTTATGAGTTAAGAACTATAAGTCAACTAAACGAATGTTGCGCCAGAAACTAACTGATTCAGCTGGTATTTGATACCGTCTCTTCCGACTGGTTGTCGATACAGCCAATCCCCGTTTGACGGGATTCATTTATCATCTTATCAATCCGCTGCTCTATCTCTCAAGATTCTGTAGGCTTAAGACAAATTCGGCACTGAACAGACGCTGGTCTGCGAGGAAATACGTGCTGCGTGATAGCTACGAATCAACCAATACATTCACAGAATTAGACTAAAATAACTCACTGAACTATTCTCGAAGAAAACGGAGGTTGTTCGAACTGATTGGCCGATTCGAACACAACCTGGAGTGATCTAAAATTCGAAATTTGTCAGTCCTACTACACCATCATCATCATCGTACAGTGTTAAACAGTAGGGCAAGCCCCCCTGACCACTACCTTTCTCACCATTTTGCACGTAGAATTAGAAAATATGAATATACAAGATGGACAGGCAGTGGACCTACATGGGTGGGAAAGGGAGAGAATGTCCTAGCAGCCAGCACACGAAATACACACTCACAAAGAAGTGAAGCACCTACTTTTCCTAAGTCTGCTGTACATTTTCTCATTCCTCGCTGCCACGTCATCTGTTGACCTCCACGTGGTGTTTTCCACTCCCTAGGAGGAACGGAGAACAGGACACGCTACGGTAGACGTGTGTTTGACATACGTAACACATGTCCCAACCAACGAAGTCTAGTAAGTTGGATACGCTGTGACAAAACGTTCTCCGAAGTAGTACCCAATACTCGCTTTCTGACCTCATCACTACTTACTCGGCTATTCCACCCAATCCTAGCGATGCTACGTAAACATGGATGGTCGAAAACCTCAAGACGACGAATGTCTTCTGCACGCAGACTCCAAGTTTCGCAACCATACAACAAAACTGAACGTACTGCGACACAGTATACACGATCTTTCAACTTCAGTGAAATATCAGATCGACGCCATAAGTGCTTCAGTCCAGCGTACACCGCTCGAGCCTTGAATATACGCGTGCTCACCTCTACTACTGTGCTCCCATCCGTCGTCACGCTGCTGCCGAGGTAGGTGAAGTGGTCGACAACTGACAGCACCTCCGCATTGAGAATCAAGCTCAGAATCGTTGACGTCCAGTCTTGTAACATCACTTTACACTTTGAAGGTGCAAAGTGCATGCCGAATGGAGCAACAGCTCTTGAGAGTATATCTAGTGCACGTTGAGCATGCTCCGCGGATTCGAACAAGCAGACAACGTCGTCCGCGTAATCTAGGTCACATAGCTTTCCACTATTTCGTGGTTCGACGCCTACATCCTGAAGATTCTGCAGCGCATTCTCGATTATTTCGTCCACAACGAAGTTGAACAGGAATGGAGACAAAGGACACCCCTGTCCAACACCACTAGTCGTTTCGAACCGACCGGATAGTTCACCGTAAACTCCATCGCGGCCAGAAGTATGAGAATACAATGATCTCAGTAGGTTCATGAAATTCTAGAGCATACCTTTTCGATGAGGAGCACTAAAAAGCACTGTTCGATCAACTGAATCGAAACTGCTTTTCAGGTCTAACAAAAACACTAATGTCGGTCGGCGGTGCGCGTGTGACGCGTTTTAATTAGTCGGCGAAGAGCAAAAATCTGATCGATGCATCCTTGACCTCGGTGAAATTCTGCCTGCTGAGCGCGGGCATTCCTCTCGCGAGCTGGTGTAAGACGGTGCAGCAGAATCGAGGCTAATACTTAGGTGACTGTCAGAATTAGACTAGTCGCACGATGGTTACTACAGTCACTGCGTATTCCCTTCTTGAAGAGCGGACCAATCAATGACTCACTCCATATTAACGAAATACGCCCCTCGTTCCAAATGTCACGGAGCAAAACGGTTAGTGATTTTATCAACGCCCCACCACTCAGCTTGAAAAGAACTGGGGGAAGTTCGTCGGAACCTGCCGCTTTCCCCCGCCTTAGTAATCGAATACATGACTCTACTTCTATTTCCGATGGGGGCTCAAATGATACCACCCAAGGAGTTGCAGCTGTTGACACAGGAGTAACCACCCTAGCGTGCGGCCAGCTAAACTGTTCCTTGAAGTATTCGGTTCAACGGTCAAGCATTTGCTGTTTACTACGGTTGGTTCTCCATTTCTATCCCAAATCGTTTCACTGACCTGGATGCGCCGTCCACCATTGTCACGAATAAGTCTGAACAGTCTTTGTCTGTTACCTGAAGCAGCTGCTATTTCCATTTCTTCGGCTTGACCCATCAATTTTCTCGATCATTCTTAAGGCTTTGCGTAACTTGCCTTTGTAACTTTCTCTGCATCTTATTCAACTTCATACGGTTCGAGAGCTGACGCTTTTGCTCCATTATACTCAGCGACTCTTGCGAAATCCAGTGTCTTTGATGGACAACGGATCTAGGAGCACAGGCGAAACCTGCTGCAAAGTGCATCGCCTGTTTGATATGGGCCCAATTCTCATCTACATTAATGTTCGTCGTAGATCCTAGCTCATGTGCTAACTTCTGCTCCTAACGGGTACTTACTTCTGGATCACACAAACGTTGCACGGCTAACCGGGCCTGCGGTTTGTGACTATGACCATGGAGCTGGAGCGATAATCGCATTAAAACTAATGCATGATCCGACTCTACGTACGTGGACCAGTAAGATCGGCAGTTCTCAACAGAACTGCACCAGCGGTAGCTTACGGCGATATGATCAATTTGACTCAAAGCACCTGTAGAGTTAGAGCGCCATGTCGCTGTGCAACGCGAGCTGTGTCGGAAATTGGTGCTAGACCAGAATATTCGATTGTCTGCACAAAACTAGAGAAGTCTATCCCCGTTATCTGTACGCTCAGCGGATAAAGCACAACGCCCACCTAAACAGGCTTCTGACACACTGAGTTTTCCAACTTGTGCAGTGAAGTCACCAGCGAGCACTGCAATGTCAAAACTTTTACTGCTGCGAAGGAGGGTGGCGAGTTCATCATAGAACTCATCTTTCTGCAAGTCTGAGGTGCAGTCCGTTGGGCCGTACGCCGAGATCACAAACAAATCGCGCTTAACACAACTATCCTTTCGAACGCCAACTGAGCCCTGGAGTTTCACAGCACATAAACGACTGGTAACCGGGATCCAGTCTAAAAGGGTAGCCTCAGCCTTGTCAGTCAAGACTATTCCTACACCACGTTGACCCACAGCTCTAGTCTCTTCGTCTCCTGAAGTGTGCAGAAAATACCTCGATGAGATACCAGGAGCAGTTAGTTGAATTACACTGCTCGAATCATGTATACGTGTTTCACCTAAGCAGCAGAGATCAATCTTCAGAGAATCTAATGTGAGGGCTAGGCACGCCTGCTGACCCAGCTGCATAAGTGTACGCACGTTGAAGGAGCCGAGGTTCAGAGGCTGACGAGGCTTGAGAAAATGAGTTACCAGAAAAAGGATTATTCGCGACACTATTTGACAGTATCGGCCGTGTCATCAGTGGGAGCATTATGGGTGTATAGAAGGGGCAAAGATGGGTGCTTAGGGACAGAAGACAAAAGTTGAATAAAAGAGAGGGAACTCTGAGAAGTAGCCCACTTATCACTACCCACCCCGCTCGATGCAATGGGCAGCACGGTCCTGATTATCCTGCGCGACGACCGATGCAGTACGGAATTCTTTCTATTCGTGCAGTTCATGGGAGATGTTGGACGGGTACTACTAGGGTGTCCAGCCACAAACCAGGACAACAATTAGGGTTCTCATCCAAAGCCTTTAGTTCTAACAAGAACCTGCGCGCAAGGCGGCGGGATGGCTTAGTGGAAGCCCATTTGCTTGGATCAATTATTCTTCCACTGATTTTGCCGATTGAGTTGTCAGCTCAAATCGACCCCCGACCTGGAGGACCAGGAGACTGGACTTTGTCTGACCTCTATCCATTGACCTGTCAGATATGATTGCATCTCCGGCTTAAAGAAGCCATCCTGTATAGCTCTTTGGGTCACAGAGGCGCGCAAGCCATCACACCACTCAAGGTGCAGTCTCGTCGTGATAGCAGTTCTACTACGCTTGGACGCCACCCACATGTTTTCACCAATTGCGCTCTATTAACTGATCTACGAGGTCACTAAAGCTCTATAGAGAAGGAGCATCACAATGCGGTTGATGGTCGTATCCCACTCAATGTATGTAGCATACGAAGACAATTACTGTATGACAACGGGTTCACATGAAAACGCAATGTACAGTGATTCATTAAAAAGGGAAACATAAATGAACGAGGGAAAATACGGTAGTTCATAAAACAAACACTAAGACTTGATTGAGCCTAAATATGTTTGAATATGCTTTTGTATCGTGCGCAAAAGCTGGAGTTCGATCGCGCTTGGTTCGCCCGCGTTTGCATTACCAAGCGCAAACGGATTTAGTACTGGTGATCCGTTGCCCGAAGTCAGTGTATCCTGTAAAAAGAGGACACAAGAATGATCAGCGCGACGCTAATAATGAAGTCCACAGTGTCTATATGGTAATTCACAGGAACAGAGGCAGCACTGCATGAGACAACAATACGTGTTTAACTGGGCACTGCTAACATCACTAATCTAATCGGAGAACAAATTAGGAACATGGGCGTGTGAATGCCCACAAGAGAGTGGATAAACCGATGAACACCAATGTGATCACCAAAAAGGTGATGCACGACCCAAATGGGTAAGACGTGAGATCACCGAAGTTACCAGTAAAATTATACAAACCATAATATCTCCAACCAAATGCCGTTGAGATTCTTTGGACTCAAACAAACAATTTGTTTACGTTTACTGCGAGTGGCTCCTTGGAGAGCGTAAGCCGGCTCCATGACAACATGACCATGAAGTTTCATGGCTGTTCGGTACAAAAGAAGTCCCCAGCAACATTCGGATCTTCCCAAGGTGCACTTACAGCCTTCACAGAACTAAGTGCGGGCTACAAGACAGCAGTGTGTTGATGCATGGTTGCCGGTGATTCCCTAGGAGCTCGTTCGCCATTCAGTTGGACTGAATCTGACCCAGTGGTCCACGCAGCCCTGTTAGCTTGACAGATTTCCTTCAGTCCTTAAAAAATGAATTAAATCTCGTCCACCCATTTAGGAATAACTGTCTTCGCACACCGAACACCGTCTCACCAAGGATTTTGGGCTTCGGTTACCCTCAACCTGCCGCTGATGAATGCTTCGGCTCCGTGGAGCCACAAGTGAAGGCTGGGTACCTGATGGAGATCAGAGAGATGGAAGATATCGCAGAGGGCACGACAGTTTAGCAACTCAGATGTGCTACTCCTATCAGAGAGCCCATACACCATACAAACGATCAAAGCCGTACTAATCCTATGGACAATCCAATCCGAAAAATTCGTGTGGTTTGCTTTTTATACTATCTGTTGGTCGGTAGTACATGTGAGCGTCACAGTAAGGTTTCTAAGACGTGTCATAGAAATGTGTACGACATATCATAAACCTGAACAAAAAGTAACTACTCAGATGAACAACTTTACATCGCTTTCATACTAGGCTGCAGAAAATATTAAAACGATTGTAAACATCATAGCTTCATGTGCCAACTAAGCATCATATCTCACCACCAGTCGCTGGAGTAGCGAACCGGATTCATGACCATTGGTTTCAAATCTAACCTGAAGAAGGTTACTTGGCACTTTGTAGATTGCGACGAAGCACTAAATCCTCGCGAGCACGGCTGATGATCAGCGCGAAGCACAATGATACGAAAGATGAAACAACACTAGTTAGCAATGTGAACATGACAAAATTCTTGCAAAATAACTTAATGACAAGAAAAATGTGAATGAGCACGATGTTCGAGATTGATTTACTGTGGGTTTTATTATTCGTATCCGCTGACGAGACACGGCCAATCGGGATCTAGTGAGTCGCGCTGAGGTGGGGACCGCAAAAACAGCAGGCTTGTTGGTGGCAGGGGTCGACGCAACTACGTTAGCAGATCGCGGCACTTTTGCGACACGAGCGCGTGAAGCCTGGTAACAGTGTGAGCAGGAGGAGGGCGGTAAACAGGGAAAGAAGGCAAGCAAATGAAATATAACATGCGTTTGATGTTTTTTACATTTTATTTATACTTGTTCGTGCGATCGATACGGATCATAAATCAGCGGTTGGCGAGACATTTGTAGCTCCTTTGGGTGAAGCTGAACCAGCCAGTGGGGCTAGGGGGGAACGATGAACCTCATGTTTGATCCACTCACTCAAAACCATCGCAACCGGAGTACCATTTATTTGTCTTTCTGTTCGCATTGTTTTTTACTTATAAACATCGTAAAATATTTCTACATGTTTTTCTGATGAGAAGTACTGAGAAGACATGTATTTGCTCGGAAAGATGCCCGGAAGCCATATCAAGTAGTTCAGGAATTAAATAAACGCATTTCTCGGTGACCGCAACATTGACTTAGGAGTAGACAGTGCCCTCTTTAAAAACGGGGGTCTGACACCATGTGGAAGCCTGTTTGAAGCTACACTACGATGCATTGAAATTCAAAAAGTTCAGATAACTGCACTCCGATCTTAGTTGGGCCGCGGTGGAAATGTGCAACAGTTGATAAACTAGCTGCATAGTTAGCGCTTCCATGGCCTCCAAATTATGAGTTGGGCGTTTATACTCTATGATGAATCAGTCTGTGAGATATGTGAAATATTGAGTTCGAAATCAAAATGGACTTACACCCTGAGTACATGAAGGCTTGTCTCCTCTCCAGAATGTAGATAGAAATTTCCGGTTTAGGTTGAACAGACACCACAAAATACGTCACAGAAACCAGCAGCCAACTACTCGACGCGGTAAACCAGTCGAGAGAAAGGTTGCCCGCAATAACCGGAACGTTATTCAATTACCATCATCTTCGACAACGCCGGATGTCGAACATTATGCGGTTACGGATAAGCCGAAAAGCCGTACGGAATACATAGGCCAGATGAAAACGTACTGAATCGCAGATGTTTTTTCCTAAAAATGAATTTTTGCAATGTCCGCTTACTTCAACGACAGCCAACAGCAAGTGAGAAAGGATACCGATGCTATTCTTCGTTTCAGCACCTCGTGCATAAGTTCGTTATAATTGCTCACGGGTTAGAATAAGGACAGTGGAGATCGCAGTGTGGTTCCACGACTCTAATGTTGACAGATTTAATGGTCATTCTGATCACTGAAGACGGTTAGTTTGAGCCGAAATCGATAGCTAAGAAAAATCACTTCGGTGATGAAGGCTATGAACACTCGTACGACCAGCCACTTTATTCATGAGAGAGGGCATATCAGTAACAGTAAACGTCATTGACGTCCCGATCATGGGCAAAGTTCTGATGCATAGGTCAAGTCGATTCGTAAACTTAGGATACTAGTTCCCACACGTGACTGACATGACCATGTTCCGCCACTAAACAAATAGAATTATGAAAGTTGATTTACAAAACCTTGGGTAATACGATTTGAAAGCGTAGCTGACCCTTTGGTGATTACCATGAGCTTCTTCATAAAATTGTGAAGAAAGATCTTGAAAATATGAACCAACATGAACAATGCAATAGATAGCTGAGAAATATAAAACCAAACCAAGCGACCGATCAGAATCCAGGTATTTGTCAAACAAAAAACGAAGGTTTTGATGCTATCCGACTTAGTAAAGCTAATCTGCAGTTTTTTCTAGGTATCGCTTGTTCTCGATAAGGTTACACAGTCCTGATCGCTAATCCAAAAAAATTCAGCTGGGCCCAATTCATCTTCATTTTTCCCTATGGAGTAAAGTCGAAGCCTGTGATACAGTTGTTGCAAGACCTCCTTACTGAGCCTCTGACGACAAAAACATATGGAAACAGTATAAATTCCAGTCTTATGAAACAGAGATTTGAAAACACTTTATTCGTCAGGCATCATCAAGAACAGTTAAACCTAAATAATAGCAGTAAATAGCGAGCTACTATTATCATTCACAGTAGGCAAAATGGGAATTCGAATTCCCGTGAATTGAACAAGATTTCGCGAATGGATTATTTTTTTTTATCGAAACACGTAATGTAGATAAGCATGTTTTGATTAGTCATTTCAGAGTCGTTACAGTCACATTTAATTTCATGGTGGCAACGCAAAGTGAAAACACTCAGTAGGTCTATCAGTCAGTTCGTCATGTTTTGTACCATAAAACTAGTTAACATCGTTATTGCACGAAAGCGGACTGACCGTCAGGGTTCGATTAGTGTTTGCCGGTTCTGTGGACGCAAGTTCCTGTTCGGTTTCAATGATAGACTGTAAGTTCAATGTCACTGAATCAGGATTTGCACCGCGTTTCACGGTCGATGGGTGCAACCGTTTTTGTGTGGTGCACTGTGCGCCACGACGTGGACGTTTCCCGGTCCGTGTACGAACTGACTCTTCCCATTCCATACGACTTCGTGTTTTCACTTCAGACTGCAAAACATGATACATTGATTTCCGCGAATTGGTTGTAGCAATGACGCAATAAAGGAAGAGTTGACGGACGCCGAAAGTCAAAAAGAGGGGATGAAATATCGTTAAAAAACCTTCAACAGGACACAGAATGTGTGTTGAATGAGTATTTGTAAGCACCGAAGACTGGTCTTTTTGGTTCAACATCATTAAATCATAGAGTTCATACAACCGGTTTTCCTCGGTATTACAAAGAACTCTTCCAAAAAGTCTATGTTTGATTTTGTTTACTTTTTTCTATCAATGATCTCACACTTTTGTGTCCTAGTTTGGTTTCTACCTATCACCATCATCAAATCAGCAGTTCAATAAATCGATGCATGGTAATAAAACCAGCAGAAAATAAAGGTACCATTTGGAAGTCGTGCAGACAAGAAAGGAGTTCGAATACAGCTACGCTAACAACTGCGTCACCTAGCCACGTTGCCCAGCGCCTCCAACCATCTGGTAAGTGGATCTTGAGAAGTCCAATAACGTCCTACACGACCAAGTGCACTGGTTAAGGCTCTTACACTTTTTGTCACATCGTGAACTGACCGTCATTCTCCGATCGTTCTATGCCTCGGAGAACACAACGTACGTCTGCAAAAGCATTGAGCACTGGAGAACAATGTACACCAAGGGAGCCTAACAGTGGTGAAAGATCGACACAAGCATGGTTTCGGTCATCTGCATACAAGGGTGTGAAATGGTGAGTGAATTTCCCTTTGATGTTCTTCAATGCGAAACAGAGATAGAAAAATCACTCGTTGACTGAGTCGAACATCACTTTCAGATAAAGAAATACAGAGACCATCAGCATACGAACGGCGTAAGTGAGTTCTAAACTTTGCCATTTGTGATGCACCACACATTTGTTAAGTATAGCTAGATTTAAACGACCACTATATTCTGAGTGCGGTAATTCTGTTTCTCATTTAGCAGCAGAATGTCAACCGAAAACTGAATGGTGATCTGATGGTAGATAGTAATCTACTGTCTCCCGTTTCGCTACCGCGCCTCACCTATTGGGGCCTTACACAGTTCTCCAATACAAGCCTCAGGGTCAGGATACCAGTTATGCTTAGTGGTTCACTGGACGATAGGGGCTCTGGAGTGAAACCGCTCCCCTAAACTCAAGAGCATGTGTGCAAAAAAAACCCTCACCATAAATGGGCGTACAGTGCGAATACGTAGATGTCACTTGACACATCGTCTTTCCATTTGTTTTTCCTTACACACAAGAGCATAAGCGCAATGGAAGGGGTATACACCCCATGGCCACAAAGAACCACTGCACTATTAGGGATAACCATCAACCAGATCCTGAGACCTGAATTGGAGAACCCTATAAATTCCCAACAGGTCAGGTGTGGTGACCAACCGGACAACGGTGGATTACTGTCTACTACCAAAGTAACTGGTGATGATGAGGATTCGCTCCTTTGACCTTTGAGGTGGTAAGCAAATGCTATAAGCCACTCGACCACCACCGGTCAGATTCCTCAAATGTTGGGTAGGTGTACGTCGTGAGACTCACAGGGTAAGCTTGACACAGTACATGATAAGATTCGATGAGTAGCATTTTCATATGCTTTTGACACGCCACGGACGGACAACTTGTACGCATTTTCCAACGGCTATTCGCGTCATTAAATAATGTGCACTGAGAACGGTCATCCTTGAATGTGCACCATACGTGTTCTAAGCAGTGCAATTAGCTCGGGTGAATTGTCTAGTATCTTGAATTTCACGCTTAAGCTGAACACTGCTAGTCCGGTATTAACACAATGATCCGGTGCAAAAAGCACCTTGTAAGGGCTGGGCGGTTATCCGCGTTGTTTGCAAAAACCTGTGAACTAACTGAACCTTCATCCAGTAACACAACTCCGTCTACCTATTCCAAATCCGGTCTGTTTAATTTCAACAAAGCTGTGTCTCTCTATTATTTTAATAGAACAGGATCACTTCAAGAACCATTCCAACCATAAAAAATTTGTAACAAGAAATTTCTTTTCGATATACCACTTCAGGCATTGACATATATAGTACCGGATAAAGAAGAGAACATGTGCACCTATAGACAGCAGAGAGTGAGTAAATGTGCAAAAAATCCGGTAACTCGACAACGTGCTTCAACTTGATGAATCTTGTTCGTTGTGTGAATGACAATAAGTGTGAAATGTGTAACCAAATGGCGTGAAAAGACAGGTGTGAAAAAAGAGGTGTGGGGCTGGGGAGAATTTGTACACGGGAACCATAGGAAACAGAGCGGCTGGGGAATAGATACGAAACGAATGTTGCGGAAGTGCCGGAAGGTCATCAAAAAAATTCGAGATTTTGTGGATTCAGTTTGTCAAAAAGCTCGGGAAAAGAAGCGAGGGAGGTTCCTCAGTAGCCTAGAAACAGAAGTACCACCGTACAGGTTACCGGCATATCTTGAAAGGTATGTCCACAATCATTCTTCTGTGACGCTTAGTAAATTACAATATGAGGCCTCATCTCTCGGACCTGAGTTTTGCGCAACTCAACCACGTTATCACCAGGTGGAAATTGAAACTGTTTGAAAGTCTAATGACTCAATTATATGACCTGATACCAACATCATCTGACTCAGTTCACGGCCTGGAAACACCACTTGTTTATGAATGTCCAAAGTATCACGCTACTAGATCTCCGTTGAACGGAATATTAACTAAGCAACATCGAGAAGCGGTCGAAGAACTATTGAATAATTAAGATTTACTTCTATCGAAACCGGATAAAGATGCCGGATGGGTTGTACTGGACCGAAGCGAATTTGACAGAAACATGATGACTATTTTATCTGATGAGAGCAAGTTCATTTACCATCAGGGCGAGAAACACAAAACACAAGAAACCGAGACTAAGTTGACAGACATCTTGAAGCAGCTTAAGTCAGAAAACGCTGTACGACAAGCTTGTGCCCTGCGGCTCACAGCCACCTAGACTCTATGGACTACCAAAAGTACACAAATCAAATATAGCCCTAGGACCGATGATTGGCACAAGCACCTCAGCCTATCAAACCACAGCTCAGTGGATTGCAGAAATTCTTGAACCTGTGCGCAAGTCACTAGCAAATTATAGTGTGAAAGATTCGTTCTCTTTTGTGGAGATGATAAAACATCAGGATCTGCCTGAACGGACTATGCTTTCCCCAGATGTGGAATCCCTGTTCACAAACGTTCCGTTGATCGAGACGGTAGAATTCATTTGTCAATACTTGACCGATTTTGATATCAAACTCGACATTCCTGTGGCCAAGCTAAAAGAACTAATTCTCAGATGTACATGGAACATACAATTTCTGTACAGCGGAAAATACTACAGGCAGAAGGACAGGGTAGCAATGGGATCACCACTTGGACCCTTCTGGCGGATATATTCTTAGCAAAACCCGAAAGTGGACTACTACGCAGCACCATCGACGGTCTACATATGCATACCAGATATATGGACGACATTTTCATAATTTGCGATTCAAAAAAGACATTACTGAACTACTGCGCACATTCAACAACTCCTACGCAATGACCACATTTACAGTGGAGCTAGAGACGGACAATTTCCTCGCTTTTCTTGATGTGGGATTATGTAGAATGGAGGACGGACATATAGAAAGGAGGGTGTATCGAAAATGTACATGGTTGGCGCAATACACACATTTCCTAAGTTTTGCCCCCCTACGATACAAAAGAAACCTAGTGAGTTGTCTGATCTACAGAGCAAGAAACATCTGTAGTCTTCACACGATTGCCCAAGAACTCGAACACATACGCGACACATTATTAAAAACGGCTATCCAGAACCGTTTATTCGTCAACATATGGGAGAGAGGAGAAGCAAAATGAAAGTGCAAATGACATAGGAAAAGGATATTTTTCAAACTGTCCCGTTCAAGGGTGACAAAACCTTAGAAATATTAGAGCTATGCATAGCTAAGACCCTCGGGAAGTCTTTCCCCGCTGCGCATGTCCGAATCTTAACAAATACGAAGCCTTTCATTGATCAACGATCCAAGGACAGGTTGCCTCATCAGTCTCAATCTTTTGTACTATATTAGTTTACGTGCTCTTGTAGTCCACAGTATATTGGACATACGACGAGACGCCTGTCGAAGAGAATACCAGAACACGTCCCGGCTTTTTACGCAAAGGAACAGTTCGGACTATCAATAGCGCAATCCTACAACATCTGGTGGATAGCGGGTATCAAATCGACAGAGCTTTCAGACCAGTTCTGACAACTCCCAGAGTTCACGCGAAACGATTACGCAGGCGGTTGCTGATGACGTCAGAAGCCATAGTAATCCGATTATTGAAGCCGCAATTGTGTAAGCAACGTAACCTCGTGCAACAGTTTTTGTTGTCGTGGCCGTAACACGTGATTTTCTTATGGTTCCCATGTACAAATTCTCCCCAGCCCCACACCTCTTTTTCCACACCTGTCTTTTCACGCCATTTGGTTACACATTTCACACTTATTGTCATTCACACAACGAACAAGATTCATCAAGTTGAAGCACGTTGTCGAGTTACCGGATCTGTTGCACATATACTCTCGTTTATCCAGTACTATATATGTTAATGTCTGAAGTGATATATCGAAAAGAAATTTCTCCTTGTTGCAAGTTTTTCACGAATCGATGGACACATTCTATGATTTAAAAAAATCAAAAAGCAACAAACGAAAGTTATGTACTAAACACCATTTCCCGTAATGAGGTCGGGTGAAAGATGATCGCATTTCTGAACTCGGATTCGGTTGCTTGCACACGAGCATTTACTGGGTGATGAATATCTATTCTACTTTACAATCAAATACAGCACTAGACAGCTGCCCCATCAAACTAGCAGAAATCAACATTCAAGTTATTAAAAATCGTGCCATTGTGCCCACGGAAGTTGCATCCGATTGCGCAGAACACAGCCGCATATACTTGAGTGAATGTCTTGCAAGTTTGAGTACAATGCACATGAACACGTGCAGTTCAGGGCTAGCATGGGAAAGATTTCAATAAAATATTTGCGGTGTCCATAGTTCAGTTTAATCCAAATATATGTCAACTGTGCACTGGTTGCTATCTCTCAGCAGTAAACTCAAGAGGAAATAATGAAGAAAAAACGAGAGTATGAAAAGTGTAATAAAAGAACCATAAATATTATCTTCAATTCGATAAAGATGGTTTGTGGATGCAATAGTGCCACTGAGAGCAACATCTAGCTATATCCTTCAATGTATCAAACTATAGAGTATGAGGGTCTCTTGGACCCTACCATGAAGTCTTACACATCCTACATGGCCAAGTCCACTGGTCACGCTTTTCATACCTTTCTTCCATGTCACGGACTGGACAACCGCACTAGTCTTCAAAACACCACTCGCCTCACCGAACATTACGCGTCTAAGAATCCTACCCGGAGACATGCGTAACACGTCCCAATCACCTTAACCTTTACTGTTTCATCTAATAATTTACTTCATGTACCTAATACTTTAAGCCGAACCACTGCATTGCCGACACGGTGTTCCACCAGATTCAAGGAACGCTGCGAACACATCGTTGTTCAAATACTAACAACCTTTGTGTATCTTCCACCCGCAGTGGCCAGGTTGCTGAACCACACAGAAGAATTGGCCTGAATGCCGCAGCGTACACTAGACCCTTGATAGACAAACGGATGTCACGTGGACGCCACAGATGACTGGGACCAAAAAACGAATGCGCAGAGGAGCACCGGGTATGCATATCTGACGAGCAACAACAGCCGCGAAACCCGTCGTGAGATTCCGAGGAAACTGCATCCAACCAATCACACACTACTTACTGTCAATGTGTGCTTGCACATACAGCCTTGTTGTTCATTGGGTCAGCAGTGACCTAGACATGAACACCTAACAGGAATCACAGTCGTAATTCGTTTGAGGACTCTTCAACGAAGAGTATCCATTCATACTAGTGACGTTTCAACTTAGGGCTTAGTGATAATATGACATATATGCACAAGTGGACAGAGGAGTACCGAGTACGTATAACTGATGAGCGGCAACACCCGCGAAACCTGTCGTGTGATTCCGGGGGAATTTGGGCCACCCATTCACACACTACCTATTATATACAAGTAAGCGTCGAATTGGAGCCACTGTCTGAGGACGCCAATATTGGTAGGGTATTGTTACGGTACAGAAAGTTGACTGGAACGACTGAAAAAGTAATCTTTGGGTCCATCTAGTCCGTGTTTTCCGCTACACAGCGATCTCACCGTAGAAAAAGAAGCCGGCAACTCCGAGCCATATGGTCTGCTTAATTGGACAATTCCCTATCTTTTCGTGGGGTCACGGGTGAGCGGGACGGAGTGATATACTACTGATAATTGTAGCATGTAGGAATACAATATTGGTACCCCATTCGTGTCCGATAGAAATGTGGATGTTTCGATGTATCGTGTTATGTTAACGAAAAAGGCTAATGAAGTCTGATTCGGAGTGGCTATTGGTGAACAGGCTACCGATACATGGTTTGTAAATTCGTGGCTCACTCATATCATCGTTCAGTCTAATCATGTCTCTGTAAATGACAACCGATCGTCTGCTCATTGTATCACAATTTCGGTTCTCGTTTTTACGGCAGAGGTCAACAGACAACGACAAATTGATGCGCATGAAACCATGCAGGGACTCGACAAATATAAACATCACCACCTACTGCTTGGGATTAGATCTCAACGAAATCAACAACTGACAATCGTGCGGTAGCAATCCTGCTTTTAATTCTGATTGACTGGAGGGGAATTCTTTGTCTATTTGGTGCTTCTCGCGTGGAGGATATATTTGTTTAGCATACTGATTGATCCTCCGCGTGGACGGTGCACCGTGATAGAAGGAACTTATAAGTTGTTGAGACTATGGATAACAACCCTGAAATGCATATACAAAGTACCGACTGCTGCCTACTTTATTCTGACAGAAGCTAGTGAGAAAGCGAGGAGATGGAGTTCACAAAAGCGAGGAGATTTGGATCAACAGATAGAATGATCGACTTACTGCATCCAGCGTCGGGCTATGATGGTCTTCTTTGATGAACTCAAAGTATGGCATTTCTTTGACTGCCGTTGGTAATGCAGCTATTTGGGCCTTCAAGGCAATGAATTTTTCGATTGCAAGGTCTATAGATTTAATGCGTTTCTGTAACTGAAATTGGATTCGTTGCCGCTGTTCTTCGAACACAGCTAAAAAGCCGTTCAACGACCATCCTTCTTTTGGCTCAAGGGATGAAAGATCAATGGCTTTCAAAAGCGGCAACGACATCGCTGTGGTCAGTGGAGCGCTTCTGAAGTCAAAGAATAAACTTGCAACGGGAGTCCATCTGACACGAATACGTAACGAAAATGGTTCTGAACAAGAAAAATTACTATCCAATTGTGCATATGGATAACAGGTAGAGACAGTACCACAGACTGGTGGTCTTTTGTCCTCATGCAATGTCTCTGCTGTATGAATTTGCGTACGTTTACTCATTTCATTCTATGTAACACTTCATGAACGGTTCTCTTTTTACACTTCAGCTGATGTACTCCATCTATTAGATGAATAAAGCGTATCTCACTCCGAATTCGTCTTTTTAAACGTACTGAGCTTGTCAATTATATTGCTAGTTTACGTGTCAGTTTCCTCGTCCGATAGATCATGGATCGCTTTTGTTGTCCTGACAAATTTGACAGAAATAAACTTCCCGATCGCATCCAAGCGATAGACCTACTGAATTCCAACCTTCGATTCCTTTTAAAAACGTGTGTAATCGAGGCACTTGGATAACCTGGGTATGCTTATTAACTTTCTTTCATCTTCTGTTTATGAGCAGATATCTGATTGTAAGACTTTAAGGACTGTTTATCTGCGCCGCAAATGTGATTTCTGCTCGAGACCCTCTGGCCACAAGAAAGCAGGACAATGTACAAAATACAGACCAATTCGTGCAAAATATCAAGACATTAGCAAAAGACTGCGATTTTCGTGAGGTGATGACCGAGGACTTACTTCACTTTAAAGTGGCTGGCTCATTGAACAGGGTGCCAGCTCCATGAACAATTTTGATTGCGGCTGCCATACGGGCGGACGCCACAGCATGGATACCGGAGATTGCGGATAACGAGCATAAAGTTTCATGGGTATTCGGTACAAAAGAAGTCCCCAGCAACATTCGGATCTTCCCAAGGTGCACTTACAGCCTTCACAGAACTAAGTGCGGGCTACAAGACAGCAACGTGTTGATGCATGGTTGCCGGTGATTCCCTAGGAGCTCGTTCGCCATTCAGTTGGACTGAATCTGACCCAGTGGTCCACGCAGCCCTGTTAGCTTGACAGATTTCCTTCAGTCCTTAAAAAATGAATTAAATCTCGTCCACCCATTTAGGAATAATTGTCTTCGCACACCGAACACCGTCTCACCAAGGATTTTGGACCTCGGCAGCCCTCAACCTGGTTTAGCCTGCCTGTCAAGCGGTTCGTCGCAGTATGGCCGCGGATGAATGCTTCAGCTTCGTGGAGCCATGTGAGAGTTGGGTACCTGATGAAGACCAAAGAGGTAAGAGATACTCCAGCAGAACTTGTCTATTAATTCAGGGGTGTTACTTCTATCAGATACCCCATACCCGGCAGAAGAGTATCGTGAGGACACCATGCGTGATGCCCTGACAACTGGATTACAGTCACATAACATAAGAACAAGGCTCTAAGAAAAACCGAATATGGATTTTCAAGGTGTTTACGATATGGTTTGTTCTTTAGAGGCTACACAGTATTCCGACTGCTGCGGCACCTACATTAAATCCACATGTTAATTCTCCACTGGCCAAGAAATCTGATTCTGAGTTGATCGAGTCTACCACGCTAGAAAAAACGTACCGCCGCTAAAGGTATTCCAAAAATACTCGCATTAAATACCCCACCACAGGAGCTACTTGTAAAACCTGTGGGTAAACAAGACATCTCGAACGTGTATGCAGGTCTGAACCGGTCACTTCCACAGCGTTCTTTTTTTAATCGTGCTTGCTCACGGGTGCGATGGAGGGAAAATATATCCCACGACCACAAAGAACCACTGCACTATTAGGGATAACCATCAACCAGATCCTGAGACCTGAATTGGAGAACCCTATAAATTCCCAACAGGTCAGGTGTGGTGACCAACCGGACAACGGTGGATTACTGTCTACTACCAAAGTAACTGGTGATGATGAGGATTCGCTCCTTTGACCTTTGAGGTGGTAAGCAAATGCTATAAGCCACTCGACCACCACCGGTCAGTCCCATATTATCGTCGGCTGTTATAGCTGCCGCTCCTGTCTGTTTGTCTAGGGCGACCACAGATTTTTGTCTGTGAAGTAGGACTACAAAGTTTGAGAGACACTGAGAGTCCCGAAAGGCGTGTCCCAGTTGGCCGTTATTACTTATCGTTAGATAGTTTACCCGTAGGATCCCAAAATAAATGCAGTACCGACACCATTCAACAGCGGAACTACAGGCTACTGTACTGGTCAAGTCAACCCAGTTCAAGTATTTTTTACGCATGCATTTGGTGCAGTGGCTTTGCTTGCTATCTCCCAGCAGTAACCTCAAGAGGAAATAATGAAGAAAAAACGAGAGTATGAAAAGTGTAATAAAAGAACCATAAATATTATCTTCAATTCGATAAAGATGGTTTGTGGATGCAATAGTGCCACTGAGAGCAACATCTAGCTATATCCTTCAATGTATCAAACTATAGAGTATGAGGGTCTCTTGGACCCTACCATGAAGTCTTACACATCCTACATGGCCAAGTCCACTGGTCACGCTTTTCATACCTTTCTTCCATGTCACGGACTGGACAACCGCACTAGTCTTCAAAACACCACTCGCCTCACCGAACATTACGCGTCTAAGAATCCTACCCGGAGACATGCGTAACACGTCCCAATCACCTTAACCTTTACTGTTTCATCTAATAATTTACTTCATGTACCTAATACTTTAAGCCGAACCACTGCATTGCCGACACGGTGTTCCACCAGATTCAAGGAACGCTGCGAACACATCGTTGTTCAAATACTAACAACCTTTGTGTATCTTCCACCCGCAGTGGCCAGGTTGCTGAACCACACAGAAGAATTGGCCTGACTGCCGCGGCGTACACTAGACCCTTGATAGATAAACGGATGTCACGTGGACGGTACAGGTGACTCTGCTTGAAAAATGCCAAACGGGCCTTCCGTATACGTGAAGATACTTCATCTGATATCCGACCTCCAAGTGAAATGCAGCTGCCTAGATACCAAAACTGATCTACTTGATTCATAGTCACCCTAGATAACGTAAGGTCTGGTGTTGGACCAACCCTATCTTGCAACAACCTCTGGTAATTAGAGGGTGCAAAACGAATACCGAACGTTGCTACACAATTGTTCAAGCTCTCCAAAGAAACTTGCAATTTACCTGGATCTTCACCGACAACAGCTGTCCGACAATTTTCTAATCGCGAACAATTCAACACCTTCACCTTGAAATGACAAAATCGCGGTCTCGAGGACCAAATCAACCAAAAAGGTGAAGAGAAATGGAGAGGGAGTAGACCTGACACACACCACTCTTCAAAGTGAAGTCAGATGAAAGATCACCGCAAACCCGAATTTGGCTTCGGCTGTTTATGTACAGGGACTTTATGATGGAAATTGATTTTTCTGGCGTTTTGAACTATTCCACTAACTCTATTGGGAAGACTTGTCTTTCTTCGAACCATTTCGTTTTACTGGTGCATATAAGATGATTCATACAAGATATGCGGTGGTCAAAACCAAATCCTTGGCCGAAAACTCATTGGCTCCACTGGTATTGACGAGCGACTCTTTTGGTTAGCTGGTCTGGCTGCGATCCGGCTGGATGATCCGGAGGCGGTCGGTTTAGACAACTATTGGTCACTGATTAGTTCGCCCTTTGGCATTGCTGGCCCCAATCTTGTCCTCGATTCTGGGCGAGCGACAACGTACTTTATTCCTGCCGAATCGTCGAGCTGCTTCGCGGTGCCCAAAACTACTCTCAATTCTGTACGAGCAAAGGTGTGCTGTCTGACCATCGAACCAAGGCTTCTTTGTTCGTGTCTGCTGCTACCCTCACACCTAGTACACTCTTCAAGAATGGGCAGCACCAGAGGACTGTGCGGTTGGTTGATGTCACGACGAGGCTGCGCCTTGGTGTGGTGTGATGGGTTTTAAGCCTACATGACCCCAAGGGCTATGCAGAATGGCTACCTCTTTTACTACACATAAAGTGAATTACACCATAAGGGGTAAAATTCGTATTTAAAAGGCATTGTAAAAGTGGATCGTAGGGGAACATTCACGCAAGAACCAGTTCACTGATCTTCCTTTTGAGGAGAAAGAGACTGTAAGTGGGTGGGAAGACAGAGAGAAGGAGAGATTGAGTTTAACGGTCCGGGAGAAAAAGGAAGAAAAGGAAAGGAAAAGGTTTTGAGAAGAGGAACTGCCCAAGCAACCTCAGGAGAACAAAATCCAAAAAATAGTACCGGTAGAAGAGGGACAAAGAAGCAACTGCCCGACGATGGGCTAGTGACTGCAGACTCGAGGTTAAAGAAGGGTCGTTGATGAGTCGAATGTCCTTTTATTGAACCCAATCAAGAATAAAAAGAGTAGACGAAGCTCCACCCCACACGTGACTGCAGTATTCAGGCGCTGGGCGGATTTGAGATTTGTATAGCAGGAGATGAGCTAGTGTGAAGAAGAGTCTGGTGCGAAACAGAAAGCCAACTTTGCGCGCAGTACGAGGGGCGAGCTGAGATATGAAGGCGGACCAAAAAAGAGAAGTTACAGATAAGACAAGAAGAGAGATAGAATACATGGAATAGAGTAAAGTTGAATCCATGGTTGTGAGGAGAATAATTGGTGATACAAAGAAATTGAAAGAAGAGATTTTGGAAGTATTAAATGCAACATAATTGTGAGAGTCCCCGGAGGAGATGTGTTCAGGGTCGGACTCCAAAGATACACTGATTGCAGTGCAATCATGATTGATATCACTGTTGACATGATGGGGACAGCGGCAAGAAAGAAGGGTGGCATCATCGACAAAGGAATGGATCGGGTCGAAAGTAGCTGGTAGATCATTAGTAAATAAAAGAAACAGGGTGGGTGCAAGTACTGAACCTAGGATTTACCGGAAGTGGTTGGGACAGAACCCCATCAACTCGGACGGAGATGGTTCGCTCATCGAAGAAACTTTATATCCACGACCCTAGGGCGGAGGAGAAGCCGAACGTACACAGCTTTGCCAGAAGACCTTTGTGCCAAACTCGGCCAAAGGCCTTAGAGATGTCATGCTACACCAGGTGTGTTTCTCCATGGTTGTCGAGTGCAGCCGACCAGAAGTTGGAGACGAGATCCAGGAGATCACCGGTGGAACGGCGAGGTCGAAATCCGCATTGGCGATCACTCAGCAGTCTTTCGCGTCCGAAAAATATACGCAGTCAATCGGAGACGACAGTTTTGAATATTTTCGAAATAACAGGTGTGGGGGGAATCGAACGATAGTTATTCGGGTCAGAAGTATCATCACTTTTGGGAATAGGAAAAATGACTGCATGTTTCCAGGGGATCGGAAAAGTAGAAAGTTGTAGAGAGAGAGAGAGACAGAAAAGACGACGAAAAAGAGGAGCCAATTCAGGGGCACATCTTTTAAGGACGATGGGTGGTATACCGTCCGGACCGGGTGGTTTGGATACGTCCAGAGAACGCAGCGCCTGGCGGATCCTCCTACTACTAATATGAGGTAGAAAATTGGGGACAGAGGGAAGAAGTAGCCGAAGGAGCAGGATAAGGGGGTAAGGTGGAGTTGAAGGCAAATCAGGTAGCAAAAACCCCAGCTTCCTCGTGTGGTTTACAAAAAAGATCACCAGGGGAATTACAGATGGGAGGGAAATTGGAAGGGCGAAACTGGAGGGAGACTGCTTTGGCAAGGGATTAAAATGTTTGACCACCGGTGACAGATGGGTGTAAGCGCTTTGCTTTCTAGCGGACGAAGCGTGCTTTGGTTCTCTGTATGGTTGACGAGCATCTGTTTCTGGCTTGTACAAGGCGGTGGTGGGAGTCGGGAGTGGGCGAGCGGCGAAATGCTGCACGCTTCAGGTGCACAGCATGATCACATGCATGGATGAACCACTCGGGGGATTCGGGTTTCCCGGGTTTGAAAAAGTAAGGAATAAAAAGTTGCATACCTTGAATTACAATATCAGTGAGATTAGAAACAGAAGCGGAAACATCCAAATTAAAGCAATAATCATTCTAAGGATAGGGATCTAGGAAAGCCGGAAAGCCGCCAGTTTCCGTTCTGTATCGTCAAAGTGTGTGTCTCGAGGGGAGTGGACGATCGGGGAGAGTAAAACTGATGGAACAGGAAATAGTACAGTGGTTAGATGAGCCAAGTGGAAGAAGAGCGGAGATGTTTGAGGAGACAGAAGAAACAGAAGTGAGATTCAAATATCTGGGCTCCACGATTCTTCCAAAGGGCCAAGCTAAAGATGAAGTCAAGTTGCGCATTGACAAGGCCAGGTCTGCGTTTCTTCAGCTTAGCAATGTACTCTGAGTGCGAAACGAAATCAGCCTGCGGACCAAAGTCTGCGTCTTCCGGTTGATATTCGTCCAATACTGACCTACGGCTGCGAGACTTGACCACTACATGTCGAGGACATCAGAAAGCTGGAAGTGTTTGACCATTGGTGTCTGCAACGGATACTGAAAATGGCGTGGCACGAAAAGCTTTCAAGAGACAAGACAACGGTGCTTTGACATCGAAAAGCTGTCACCGTTCCTCGAATGCCGACAATTGCAGTGGTTTGGACATGTCCTACGACGTCCGTAGATCTCAAAACACTGCGTCGCTCCTGTTCCATGTCCAGGATGGCACTGTTGCCTCGGAGGACAGCTGAAAACATGGGTCAGTACCATCAAAATCGGACGTTGAGGGATTAGAACTCCAGGCTGTCTACGGCGCTCGCAAATGGAAGCAGGACTGGATTTCTCTGTGTTTAGGTCTCGCATCTGGTCTCCAATCATGGGCTGATGCCATTAGGGATATGCATGAAGCCGGCTTATACTGCCGCAGGAGCTAGCTGCATGAAAGTAAGAAGTGAGTCAAGCGACTCACCTGCACCGATTTATGCGAAACTCAGCGAAGCATGCTAACAGCAAGCTTCGGTGAAGAGGCTGCCATGACATGTTGACTAGAGAGTTCGTTCACGATCACAGGTTGATCGAGGTCGTAGTGGATAAGTTGATAGAATTAGTCCTTACACTGAACACTAAACGCTATACGTGGGATGGACCGGCTCGCGGATGAACCGAGGTCCGTCACAGAGGGGCAGATTAAGCGCTGGTTCATCAACGCTAGGGATCGAAGCGAAGTAAGGCGACTACGCCGGTACGTTTGTTTTTTGTAGTCATTCAAGGTTTCTTTACAAATATTTCATCATTTGACAGTTATGGTGCAGTGTCACAGCCATGAGATTGTCATACATTTTCCAACTACAATTAGACTGCTTTTATGTCATGTCGAAAAACAGCATATGCGGATTTTCATGTATTGCATCTTTTTTATACTTTTGAATGATATATATATGTATATATATAAGATTTACACAAAGGAGAGTTCTTCTATCAAGTCGCGATTTGGAATTTAATATTACGAGTTTAATTTATTTCATTTTTTGCGAACAATTAATACGTCACCTTCCCCGCGTTCACTCTACAGACCCCGTGAACACCAAGAAGCTGCAAGATTTTCTGGGATACAAGAATAAAGAACATCGAATGGTGATTTTTTCTGTACACCTATACTATTCTTTATATAATAGATCTATTTTCATCATTGTACAAGTGGTCATTTTGCTTATACATGCATATGTAGCGATAATTCAGTGGTTAAGCTCAATGGGTTGGAGAATATAATTACAGTAATGAAACGAAATTCGAGTACTTGTTGAAAAGGAGGTAACTATTTCCCGTGGTATTTTCGATGTTGGGTGTGCCAAACCCCATCTCAATTGGGCTCTGGTGGCGCTGCCCAACGCGTTTTAATAGAACTGCCTAACGGTGCAATGGGCTAGCCCAACGTCTGCCTAGCCCTGGCCCAACTGGGCAAACGTTGGGCAGTGTTGCTTGGGTTTTAAATCTTTCACTACGTCGTCTGGCAGAGAGTTCCACATTCTGGTTACCCTCCTGGAAAGACAGTGGGCTAGTCGACTGCAGCTTCATGAGCATCGTCGGGTGCCTCCTTGTGCACTACTGGTCACGAAAGATGAAATTCCGCTTTCAACTCGGGGCCCACCTCGCCCCGGCATATTCGTCGGATGCATGCATATCAGGTCACCCTCACTCTTCGATACCCTTACGGAATAAAATGTTAACTAAAAAATGTACAGTATCCGGGCACAAACTGCTTTCTTGCAAATTCTCTTTTGACCTGTAGATCATTGGCTACTAAACAAACCGGTCGAAAACCGATGTTACGAACGGCTGTGGCAAAAAGGTTAGACCCCAACCAGGTAAGTGAAAATCACCAACCGAAGCCAGTGCTGATGTTAGCGCCATTCTGTTGATAAAATTACTTTGTTTTACTGATGATTCTTTATCTTTGTACCTCGTCCGATTTCTATGCATATCCATCTCATACATTGCATCGTCTTGTTCCTTAGCAATTTCCATAACGAAACCTGTCTATCCGAAAAAAAACCAACCGGCTCCATTCGACTTTCTACTGGTTTCATCCATTTTTGTCTGATTACTACACAAACTCTAACACCCCATCTAGGGTGGCTTTAGACGCCGGTAAGCGACAAGCCAAAGTTTACGTAGGCCAAAAGATCACAGAGAAGGGGACTCACAGAGCATCCAGTCCGATTAGTATTGCGAAAAAGCAGCCAGCCAGCCCGACTCTGAAAGAGGAAGCCCAAAGAAACTACTCCGGTGCAACCGGCGCAGGAAGAGGTACCAGAGGGAACAGCCAAGGAAACCAGCTGGGCCGAGGTGGTCGCAAGACCAACCCGGACCATCGGTACGGTGACTCAAAAGGAAGGTGCGTCCGCTGTGCATGTTGAGTCCGACACCGGGTAGACGGATGGGAACGAAGAAGCCACGAAATCTAGTGTTACTTAATATTCAAGACGCAGCACCGCACACACCTATAGAGGTAAAAAACGGAGCATCACCTCGGAGACTGCGTCCGAGGGTACCCCAGCCGTAAAATTCGCAGTAAGTTCGGTAGAGAGGACCAGAGAACCGTCAATTCGGTACAAAAACGCCTAGTCTTCCGGGAAAAGGGGGGGGGATGATGACTAGGATCGCAGTCTGACGTCGTTGCATTGATGGAAACTAGGATAAAGCCAGATACTAACAAAATGCTCTTTCAGGGGTATGCTGCCTACAGACAGGATAGGACAGAGGGAAGACAAGGGAGTGGAGTGACACTTCTAATACGGACTGACATAGATCTCTGGTAATGTACAGGCCAAGTCCTGCTGTATCAGGATCGTGGTGCGAACAGCCTGCATTAGCTGTATCCACAGGGCACCGCTAGTGACAGATGAGGAAGACGCCGAACTTTTGCAAATATTAGACGCAGTGCTGGCAGAGACAAAGGAGTTCGTCTTAATAGGGGATCTTACGCTGCCGGAAATTAACTGGGAAAGCGAAATCGCACCAAGGGGATCAACGGACGACACGTTTCTGCAGTGGGTCCAGAGGCATGCACTTACGCATGTGACGCGGGCTACTAGACAGAGGTGGGCAGCACCCATCTCTCCTTGATTCAATCATAACGCGGTAATATCAGGACGTTAAGGAAATTAAGTGGGAAGAGCCATTGGGCAGTGTTCATGTAGTCCTAAGGGGTACAATAAGACTAAGCAAGGCGCCGAAAGAAATCGTGCTACATCGGCGCTATGGGAGAATCAATATAGGCGAACTAAAGAGGGCAGCGAGGGAAGTTCAGTGAACATCGAGTCACACAAACGCCTCGGTAGAAGAACGTTGGGAGGTCATCAAGATGGGGCTACTCGGACTTACAGAGGAGTTTGCACCTATAAGGGTGGCTAGCAGTATAAATCGAATCCCATGGTGGAAGTCGAAAGTTCGCAAGGTTGTAGTCATTCGTAGGCAACGATGGGCGGCGTACAAGCTGCACAAAACTCAGGTGGCACGGAACAGCTATAATATTGCCAGGATCAGAGCTCAAGCGATCTAAAGAGCAGAGAAATATCCTTTCGAGCGGCGGTTAGCTGCATTGGTCCGCACAAACCCAAAACGGTTCTATGCTTACGGTCAATCCCAAAAACGTGGGAGAAAGTGTAGCAACTTTGAGAGGGGTACAGGGACTACGAAGGCAAGACCGAAACGCTCTTGGCATTCTCCAGGAGCGTATATCGACCAGCAAATAATTTAGAGGAAAGAATGGAGGGACCACAGGCGCCTCCAATACCCAAACTTAGTGTAGAGGATGAAGAGGTGTGCACGCGGCTGCGAACCTTGAATGGACACAAAGCCGCAGGACCAGGTGGGATTTATCCAGCCATCGCTCAGCCTCTGGTCGAAATCTTGAAGGCTCCAGTGACGAAGCTGTATGAAACGTTACTCAGAGAGGGGATTGCCCAGGGAGACCGAAGGAAAGCAACAGTAATAGGAATTCACAAGACCGAACCCCAGTAAAAGGCCGAAAATTACAGGCCGGTTAGCTGAATTTCAGTACTGTGTAAGTGCCCGGAAAGATTAGTTAGAAAACAGATCTCTAGGCATTTGGTTCAGCACAAAACTCATCAAATGCACAGCATAAGTTTGTGACAGGATGATCTTGCCCGACGAATCTCCTACTGTTCCTTGATGAGGTAACTCTATATCACACTAGATATACACACACTTGGCACAGAAGGTCTCAAATCACTGAGATTCGATTGCGAAAATTAATTGGCATCAAGATGCCCAACACGATGAGAGCTCGCGGCTAATCAGACAACACAATTAAAGACACGATATTAAATGCACGAGTTGTGCGGGAAACTCAGGGCACGAGACGACGTAGATTCACAACAGAACACGAGACCCAAACCGAGTAGGCACACAAGACAGAACATGGACGATGGGTGATACTTGCGGCCTCGCAGGACTAATAACACAACTGACCGCTTCGGTCAAACCTGCCCTGTAGCAAAATCGGTTCAAAACGGCTCCGAAACCGCTCGGTTTTCGGTCGGTTTTCCATCGGTTTTTACTATTACGCCGATCGGTTTGTTTAGTAGCCAATTTACACGGATGAACAAAGAATTCATACAAAGGGAACTGACGACCGAAGTAATGCGCAATGCTTGGTTGGCGTTTTTTTTTAATGTATTGGTTTAATTCATCGAAATGTCCTGAAAACCTCAGTATAGGTCGCTCTATTTTATTCCCTCGAAAAGGGGGAAATAAGGACAATTATTCGGAAAAATCATAAATTAGGAGATAGAAAAGGGCATCGTAATACGTAATTTGGCTAGTGAAATAAATTAACGAAGCATATCACGTATTTCAAACTGACACAAACCGCTCGAAAACCGTCCAAAAAATCGGTCTCAAACCACTCAGAAACCGCTCGAAACCCGATCGGCGTACTAGTAAAAACCGACCCAAAACCGATCGGTTTCTGACCGATTTTGAGTGGTTTTTACGAATCGTTTGAAATACGTGATATGCTTCGTTAATTTATTTCACTGGCCAAATTACGTATTACAATGCTCTCTTCTATCTTCTAATTTATGATGTTCCGAATAATTGTCCTTATTTACCCCTTTTCGAGGGAATAAAACAGAGCGATCTATACTGAGGTTTTCGGGACATTTCGATGAATTAAATTAATACATTTAAGTAAAACGCCAACCAAGCATTGCGCATTACTTCGGTCGTCAGTTCCCTTTGTATCAATCCTTTGTTCATTCGTGTAAAATGGCTACTAAACAAACCGACCGAAAACCGATGTTACGAACGGACTCGGTCCTACGGGCCTAAGAGCTCATAGGCCCGTAGTTTTAACGAGCAGGGCGGGTCTAGTTGAACAGGCGAGATGGCGATCGATCTGAAGGGAATCCGAGATAGACTCCGTGTTAGTATTTGATGAACAAATACTGGGCCCGCGTTCAACACACCGTTCTCTGGCAGCTCATACACAGGAAGAACACAAACACCAGCAGAAAGCGCATCCAAGGCAGAAGTCCCATAACATCTTGGGCTCCGGGAGTCCCAGGGACAGATAGTTGTGAAAAAAGGGGGAAGGAAGGATATTAGAATATCAGCAGTCTTAAACACCGAAAATGGCAACGTCCAGTCCCCAAGGACGATAAAGAACAGATAATGAGTACAATAACGGGGTAGTGGTGCGTTTATGAGTGAGTTTTGGCTTTAGATCGAATGTTACCATCACGTAGGTAATCAACGAAAATGGCTGCTTTCTGGCCCACAATCCCAACCTTGTATAATCATGCATGAGCCAATCGACGGAGTCATGTAGGCAGTATAAAAACAACAACTGGAGAGCATCAAGAAAATATCCAACGGGTGGGGGAAAGTTCAAATTTTGTAGAAAACTGGAAACATTAATTACACGAAAGTAAACAGCTCTATGGAAAGGTAACGTCAGGGTTGAATTCTGCGGTTTCAAATGTGCATGCAAAGTGCCTTTTTCTAAATGGAATGTCACCCGAACATGCAACCATGCGCCTGGACGAGTGGCAGCCGGTCGATGTCCGTTCCATGGACTTCAGCGGGGCGTTTAATTCTTTAAACCACAGGTTTCCGAATGTCAAACTGCCGTCTATAGAAACCGTTGGAAAGGCGAGGCAATGGGCAAATATTTTTTCACCAAGGCGAAGTTTGGTTGTTAAGGTAGGTAGTCGTGTCCCAAAATCGGAGGTGTCGCTAGTGGGATGCCTCCGGGCTTGGTGCCCTCTGCTCCTACTCATCTTCATCAGTAATCTACCAAATTAGTTTAAGACTCCTACGTTTATGATAGCCGATGACGGCAAGTTGGTCTGAGCATATATAGAGTATGACGTGTTAGCGGTACAAAACTGGTGACGCAAGTGAACTTTCCACGCAACCTCACCGAGTGTCAATACTTGACCACAAATACAGTGGTTACTGGGAAAGGAGTAAGATCGCTGAGAATGCATTTGCACTCGTGGTCTCCCAGGTCCTAGACTTGCGCGTTACACTGGATAGCAGCTTCAAGCCTTCGAAGAAGTGCACGACAACCAGACCAGATAGTCTATTCCAAGTGGCCGTAGACTCCAGAACAAGGGGACATGAAAGGAAGTTGATAAAAGCCCGATCTAGGTTGATGGCTAGATCGCACTTCTTCAGCAATAGGGTTGTGAACAGTTGGAACGGTCTGCCTGGTGAAATGGTAGATCTGCAGACAGTCCAATCCTTCAAAGGTGTCCTAGATCGTAAGTGGTACGAGATCTTTCCTTGTAGTGAGCCTTGAGTATATCAACTAGATGGATGACGGGTAGCACTGTGGTCCTTCCGGAGCATGTTTTAACAGACTTTTCCCCTCATTGCATACAGTCTCAGTGAACGCCCACGATACATAATGTCTCTCGCAGTTGATGTGCGATGAGGTTTTCCTTTTCCCTCTCATTTTTAGCGGGGATTCGACAAAATACACTCAGCAGTGGTGGGTGCATAACTGTTGTGCATACCATCGAAGGAATTCTGGACGCTCGATTAGCCGTGGCCATTACCTGTCCTGTGCAAACTGAACTGAACTGAACTGAACTGAACAACGTCCAGTATGGCCAGAAGAAAACCCTTTTGGATCAGATCAGCCATGTGGTGACGGGAGCCGGAAATGTTCCTTCCGATATACCATGCCGTAGTAAGCCTGACATGGAGTGGGGCGTGCAAGCCTGGGCGCCGTATTGTAGAGGCTTCGCAGACATCAAACTCACTACAATGCAATTTCAGGCTTAGAGCTCGGGCGCGCCCTGTTTACGAATAGGTATCTTCACTAGGGTTTACTTGTGAACGACAACAGCTCCCCAGGAGCGACCAATTCCGGTGCCAGGTCATCCCCTAGCTATAGGCAATCTTCCATTTCGAATCTTTCTTCCCAGTCACAAAAAGTGGCTTATGGTAAGGACAAAAGTTCTTCAAAGTACTTTCATTCATCCAGACCCGATTCAACCAGTGCGGTATTATAATCTCCTTCGGTCGGACATATGAGTCTATCTTAGAAGTTCTGCAGGACATTTTGGTGATCCTCATCAGTCATTCATTGAGGTACGCAACTGGCTTGGCAAAAGTTGACCGGGCTTTTCGATGAATCAGGAATTCGGTTCAGCCTCGGTTCCTTCAATCGACTGGTCGCTTGAAGTCTGTCTTGCTCAAGTCTACCCGGTACCCGAAAAGTTGACAGCATCGCCAACTTGCGTCACTCTAGGCCGGCGGCAAGGCGCGCTCCAGCTCGTCAGCCCTGACCATTAGCTCGTTCAGTTTCCCATTTCCTGTTATTTATACGGAGTAACTAATATAATCAATGAAACCCATTAATTGCTATTGTTCTGCGTCTCCATTCGCTGGACGGGAATCTAGTCCGCAAGTAGTGCTCGCGTCTAAATTGATGAGCCCGTTCAATAATTTTTTTCTTTTCCGCGCTTTGGGAAGTTCTTTTTGTTTTCTTTGTGCACATACGTAGTGAGGTTTCATTGCCGTTGACTCCGGTCTGCCGCCGTATATTTATTTTATCGTCTTTTTATATGGTTGACTCTAAGGTAACTATGTCGGAGCTTGTGGTGCCTGAAACGCTCTTTATGGCCGGCGCCCAGTAAAGGCTTTGCCGTTTATCCTGGGTAACCCCACCCTTTGGCTGACTGATCTGGAAGCACAGTATGCTACTTCCAGAATCACTTCACAGCAACAGAAGTATGTGCTTCTCGCTGCTGAACTTCCTTTAAATATTCTTGAAGCTGTCGAGGACATCTTATCCAACCCACCCACGTACAACCTTATGATGTGCTTCATCAAACTATCCTAGAAAGCACCGGGTCTCCGACCCAAACCGTCTTCGCCAGCTGCTTAGTGGCACTGCACTCGGTGGCGAGAAGCCCCCACAGCTTCTGCGCCTTGTGCGACAACTGGTCAGGGGCACCCAAGTTGGTGACATGATGTTGCGATAATTGTGGATGCAGCGGCTACCCGGACAGGCGCGATACACTCTGGCCCTTCTGGCGGACGAAGTTTTAATAGACAGACTAGCTTCAGCTGCAGACCGTTTTCATGGAAACCTCCCCCGCCCAAGCTAGTCATTGCGTTCGTCCGTCCACGACTAACACGGGCGACCTTGACAGATATAGCTGCACAGCTTGGTGCCCTTCGGGCGGACATGACCGCTATTCAGTCGTCGTGTTCGGCAAGTCGTAGCTGCCCCACGACTCGCACTCGCCGGCCTATTGCCGCACGTAGTCCTCTCAGGCCAGCCTTTCCCGATGCGCACACTTGGACGTGGTGTTAGTTCCACCGCCAGTATCGTGCCACCTCCCGGAAGTGTACGCCCTGGTGTACTTCCCGCGACAACCAGGGAAAATCTTCGGCAAACGAGTAGGTGCGGCGGCCCTCGTTGGCCTCCCGTCGCCCTGTCTTCTCCCCTCTATCAAGGGCCTCATCTCACACCGTCAGTTCCTGATTGACACCGACGCTCAGATCAGCGTCATTCCCCCTAACCCTTCTGACCGCCAGCATCGAAAGACTCTAGAGCTTCAGGATGCCAGTGTGCCTGGTATGTCAACTTTTGGTGCTAAGAGTCTCAAATTAGATTTGGGTTTGCGTCGTTTTTCTCAGTGGACTTTTGTGGTTGATCGTGTCTTCCAGCCCATCTTAGGTGATGATTTTCTGCATCATTTTTACCTTTCGTTACATCCGGCTTCTCGTTAGTTAACCGACCCTGTGTCCCATGGTGCTGTTGCTGTATCTGTTTACTTGGTCAACGTGGTTGGACCCTCCGTAACTCTTGACGCCAACGACACTTTCGGCAAAATCTTACCTGATTTTCCGCCTCTCACCGGACCGGCAAACAACTTATTCTATGTGCGATCGGTGGTCGTACATCACATCAGTGCCGCGGGACCTGTTTTTGGCAGTTCTCGTCACCTGGCCCCAGACAAACTAGCCAATGCCCGTCATGAGCTCCACCAAATGATGGACCCTGGCATCACCCGTCCCTCGAACAGCCTGTGGGCGTCTCCATTGCATATTGGGCCGAAGAAAACTTCTGGCGACTGGCGTCCGTGTGGTGACTACCGTCGCGCAGATCAGGTCATAACGCCAGATCTTCGGCCTGTGCCTCACATTCATGAAACCACCTTCGCTCTGGCTGGATCCAACATCATCAAAATCGACCTCACCCGGGCCTGTCGTCAAATTCCAGTCATTGACAAGGAGGTTGCGAAAATTGCAGTCTCCTGGAGTTTCTCCGTGTGCAATTTGGCCTGTACAATGCTGCCCAAACGTTCCAGCGGTTTACTGACGCTGTTACGCGCGGGCTACCCTCCGTTCACCCTTACGTCGATGATATCCTGGTCGCTAGCCCAGGTGTTGCCGACCATGAGCTCCATCCGCGACAGCTCCTCCAGCGGTTAGCGGAGCACTGTGTCACCATCCAGGCCACTAAGACCGAGTTAGGGAGGCCGTCATTGCACTTCCCCGGTCAAGTTATCGACGCCAACGGCATTCGTCAGGCTGAAACCGAGGTCAGTTGCTGAATTTCCACTACCGCAGTCTTTCACATAGCTCAGACGTTTTAATGGCTTTGTTGCTTATCACCGCCGGTTCATTCCGCACTGCGCCGCGCTGATGCAAACTCTCACCAACCTTTTGCGGGGCTAACAACTAACCCCTATCTGGACCGATCATGCTCAGAAGGCCTCTTCTCAGCTCAGACAGGCCTTGGCCTCTGCGGTTCTTCTACATCATCCCGATCCCAATACTACCGTCGGTACCACTGTCGATGCTTCCGATGTCTCAATGGGCTGCACCCCAGAGCAGACCGCGGACGGCGCTTGGGAGCCGCCGGCCATTTACTCAAACCGCCTGTCGTCCGCGGAGTCCAAATACAGCGAGTTTGTTCGTGAACCAATTGCCGTCTTTACCGCCGCCCGTCACTTTTGCCAAGCGCTGGAAGTGCGGGAATTAATCATTTTCACGGATCAAATGCCTTTACCGTATGCTTTTCGCAACGTATCGGATCGTCATTCTCCACGAGAAATTCGCCGGCTGGATTTCATATCACAATTTTCTGCTGACAATCGGCATATCCCCGGGTCAGCTAGTGCGGCTGCAGATGCTCTTTCCAGGATCTACAATCTCGGGTCGCCAACTTTCCCGGCATCAATTCCGAGGATCTGACACAGAGCAGACAGGATCCTGAGTTTCAACAGACCATTCACGACACGAGTCTCTGAGTGCGGGCTTTGGCATTTCTGCCATCTACACTATCCTCTGCGACATCACTTTGGATCACCCAGGGCCAATCTCACCACTTTCACACCGCTGTTCCGATTTCGAGGTGTTGCACGGTCCATCCCACCCGGGTAACAAGACCACATGCATGTTTGGCCAAACATGGTAGGCGAAGCTTTTCAGTGAGCGCGTAGCTGCATTGCTTGTCAGCGAGCAAAAATTCAACGACATACTACCGGTCCGTTCGGATCTTTTGAAACTCCAGACGCTCTCTTAGCTCACTTTCAAGTCGACATTGTGGGACCCTTGCCACCTTCCCGGGGCACGATCTATCTACTCACTTGTATTGACCGTTTCACACTTTGGCACGAGGTCATGTCTGAAAAGGTCATTCCATCTGTGGGCAAAGCGTAACCAATTCCAAACGGATCCCAAAACCAGAACAAGATTGATTCGTAGTTCCCACGGTAATGGATTACCAAATTATACGCATATAAATATGTACAAACCACAACTGTACGGCCACAACGCATAACAACGAGAACCAGAGTTCAAAAAAGGTCAACGTCAGGTACCACCGTGACGGCAGTTCAAGTTCGAACCAAAACTATGCCACTTCACGTGGGAAAAATATAAACAAATGTCGAATGTGGTGATTGGTGCATGCTGTACTTGTTCGAGGCTCAGTAAGATAAAGGCATAGTCTCAACGATATGAGCATGTGACCACGGCTAGGGAGGATTTCCACATATGTACGTTACATTGCCCAGCAACTCCTCCCAACGGTCAAAGTCCAGGGAGTAAATGGGGGTACTGATTCGCCCCAACCTACCTAGACCCTAAAGTCAGTGCGGACGCATGTCGCTATGGGCTTCCTCTATCTCTGGTCAGTGACAGGCAAGCTTGCAGGTTTCTTAAGGTTATGCTCCATCTCTCGAGGCCTTAGAGTTTCTTCTGAGACGTTATCCGTATACGTATTAGGGCTCCGATGTTATTGGGATGCGTAGACACATTAAGGAATATAGGTGAAAAGGCTGCCCGAACAAGAATAAAATACGTGTCAAGATAAAGACAGAGAATTCGTGATGAAAATCGAGATGGCCAAAGGGTAATCGAACATCAGGGGCTCAACGTGCGGTGTTATCACATTAAAAGTATGTTTGACTCACAACTCATATCCACTTGGACACAGGTTGAATAATAATAAAGATAGGTCACGGAAAAGGAGACGTCCTTAAAAACGGTCAACAAGTGCTTGTTCGACAATTTCCGCTTCTTCACAAACAATGTCGTGTTGTGTGATAAATTGGGGTTTCGACAACTAACCCCATATTAAATCGTGAACACCGTATAAAATTAGACACGAATATGCTTTGAAGACAAGGGGGGTTGCGTCCTACGGGAGAAAGCATGATCAATAAATACATAATTTCAGCTTCATTTGGTATCAACAGACTTGGATTTAGCTTGGTTTGTAGCGTCGACTTCGCCCTCGCCATTGTCACCTCCAGGCAGGCATATCTTACTGATATCTCGCAGTACTTCACCTTTGTTCGTTCTCACCACCACTGTGCGCACGAGGCCATCGATTTCTGTACGGCAGTCCTTGATCACTCCAATCGGCCTTTCGTCTTCATATAAGCAGCTCTCCACGAGGATGACTACATCACTACGCCTGAACGACCTCTCTTCGGAGACCCGCTTTTGCCGAAGCTGCAGGGTCGGTACGTACTCCCTCGCCCGAAAATTCCAGGAAGCCTGTGCCAGGTGGTTCGCTTGTTTCCATCCGATGATGAACGTTCCACGTAGGGTTTTTGGTGTGGTTGCTCCTACGTTTGACCGCAATAATAAAAGGTCGTTGGGCGTGAGAGCCGGCTTGCCTTCCGGATCTGGGACGATGGGCCATTGTCTGAGTATCCTTTTTTGGAACTCCCCGCCTTTCGATGAACCTTTAAAAGGCCATTAGAAATGGATCGGTGGTATATTATGCACTACTCCGAGATGGGTTTCTCTGGATTGTAAACATGTCATCAGACAGCCACACCTCTTTTGCGTGCTCCTTTGTTGTAGTTCAATAACGGGCCGAAGTGCTGGACACCAATTTCTACGAACAAGCACCATCCTGGTTGAACTGTCACGGCTGGAAGGGGAGGGGAAAGCATCATTTGTTGGCCTGCTACCGCACCCCGGCGACGGCAAGCGATGCAGTTGCCCATGACTTGCTTGACCGTCGCTGGTCCATTTGTCACTGAAAATCGTCGACGCATATTGTTCATTAAGTAATTCAAACTTGCGTGTCCCTCTTCTCGATGTACATGGTCTATCAGGCATCTCGTTACGTAGTGGTCACCCGGAACTATTATGGGGTATTTTGCTTCGTACCCTAGATTTGAATTCGTCAGCCGCCCTCCAAATCTCAGTAGACCGTTGGCTGCTGTAAAACAGCCTGCTTCCTTTGGTGTTATCATCTATCCTGACTAGCTTGAGGGCCTCGAAAGGGAAGGCGTCTAGTTATGGTAGGCGTGGAACATCGAGTTTGGCTTGGCTCAGCTCTCCCGGTAATGTCGTTCCTACATTTAACGTGTTCTGTGGTCATGTGCCCTTCAAAATCATTAGGATTACTTTGCATCGTGTCCACCAGACCACGGCTCTTAACATTTTTACCCAGTCGAAGAAGTGGCACAGGTTGTTCTATAAAGCCTACGCTTACCGTGGAGTTTGTAGCCAGTATCAGCCATCTGGTCTCGATATCGCCATTCTCAAGCTTGGATACAAGTGGTGTTGGCCACATCTCTTTAGCTGCAGTTAGGAAGTCCGGTCCCATTGTCCACATCCGGAACCTCTTTAGTGTTTTCAGGCTTCCTAAGCAGTCAGCCGGGTTACTGGCAGATTGTACTCAGTGCCACTGATCGGTCTTAGTCGACCCATGAATCATAGTGAGTCTGTTGTCCACGGAAGTGTTAAGGCGAGTTCTAATGTTGTTTATGTAATGTATCACCGTGGCTGAGTCCGTCCAAAAGTGTGGTTCTCAGTTTATCCGAACGAAGCCTTTTCTAATCAGCGTCGCGGTCTTTGCGGCCATCACGGCTGCAGTTAGTTCCAGCCTCGGAATGGACACCATCTTCAGAGGAGCCAACTTCGCCTTTGCAAAAACTATCTGACTGTGCCTTCCACCATTTTCTTCTACCCAGCAGCGGTAAGCCGCTATCCCGTAGACTGTTCCTGATGTATCTGAAAACAAGTTGAATAGGGCATCGTTTGTGCACTTGGTCCCTGTCAAGCATCTTGGTATCTTGATATCGCTAGGCTGATCTAGGATGCGCAACCAGTCGCGCCATCGCTTGTCATCTTCACCCTGTGGAGGTTCGTCCCAACCCGTCCCTCTCTGGCATAGAGATTGCAGCAAGAACTTTCCCGGTAGCAACCATGGCGAAACGAAACTCAGGGGATCATTGAGGCTTGAGACTGACAATAAGATTCCTCTACGTGTGACTGGTCGTTTGGGTAGGTCCAGGGTGAATATGAATTCCTCACCTTCGGGTTTCCACTGAACTCCAAGAGTGCGCTCAATTTGTAACGAGGATCCCAAAACTCTCTCACGCACTGCATTTTCTCGGACTTCGGGATAACATTGGGCACCTCCTGGCTGTTTGAAATTCATTTAGCGAGGTTGAGTCCTCCGGTATTTAGAGTGGCGATCAGTTCGGTCATATGTAGAATAGCAATATTTGGGTCGCCAGGGGAGCACAAAAATTCGTCCACGTGGAATTGGTCCACTGCACTTTCTGAGAGATGGCTGGTGCCTCAAAACCGCTTGGAGGTTTCCCGAAGGGCAAAATTAGACCAGAAGGGGGATGATACCATTCCAAAGGGAGGCACGGTCAGCCTGTACTCGTCCGATGCACGAGTTACGTCGCTTTCAGGCCACCGGAGAGGACGAAAGGCTTCTTCATCTTCAACGGGCATCTTCACCTGTAGAAACATTTTACGTACGTCCGCAGAGACGACCACGTCCCCTAGCCGAAAACGGCATAAAACCTCGACCAGTGGTGTTGTCCAGTCTGGGCCCTGTAGTATATGGTCGTTGAGGGACACACCCTGACATTTCACGGCACAGTCGAAAACCACCCTGACCTTCCCCGGTTTCTTTGGGTTCACGACCGGGTGATGGAGAAGGTACC